CTTTAGATTTATTTATACCTATAATATCCTTTATTTATATTTTAGTTCTAGTTATTTATTATTTAGAATAATTTAGAATGATTGGAAGAACTTTAAAGTTAACATGTGGTATATAATTAATTATTAGATATAAATATTGAATATAAAACCACATATTTGTATAATTAATAAATTAATTTTAATAAAAAATAGTATTGTTTTATTTACCGACTGATTTGCTTCTTTTATAGCCTGATATTTATATTATATGACAAAAAACAAAAAAAAAAAATAAATAAGAAAAACAACAAGGTAAAATAAAAAAAAACTTTTAGCTGGAATAGAACCCACATCATCATTGATCCTTGAAAGACGATAAAAGCGTACTCATTAACCAATCGACCACGAGCACTACGATAATTACAGTGAAAATGTCGGGTCATATCAATGATTGTAAATAGTTTTAACCTTACCCATGCATTAAATTATAAAAATACGTATACCGACACAAGAATGAAAATACCAATGTGAACGTGGTGGACGAATATTTTTATACACAGTAATATGAAATTACCCACACATGTACATTGTGTAAATGACAGTAGTGTCGATGTGAGCGTTACGAACTAATTAGCGGTGCTTTGTGTACATAATATATATTTATTAGATACGTTTTTTATTTTATTCAGCATATTGCACGGTTATTTTAATCCTACGCCCCCTCGTCGTCCCCACGGCGCGGAGAGTCCATGAGGATTTCCATCGCGATAGAAAAAAAACGATTATTTTCTCAGATATTTGGTATTATTAAATTGTAAATATTATTAAAACACATTTTTAAGTGTGGGAGAGCCATGCTTCGGCACGAATAGGCCGGCTCAACCGGAGTGATACCACGGCCTCCCAGAAAACCGACGTGAAGCAACGCTTGCGTTGTGTTTCGTCGTGTGAGTTGAGGTTACCGGAGGCCCAATTACCCTCCCCTTCCGCAATCTCCCCAATTCCTGAATCCCCAACGATCCTCAAACTCCCAATCCCCAAAAGGCCGGTAACGTACTTGTAACGCCTCTGATGTTCCAGGTGTCCATGGGCGACGCTGATTGCTTACCATCAGGTGATCCATCTGCTCGTTTACCGGCTTATGCCATAAAAAAGCACATCACATTATTAATTTTATAGCTTTTTAAGAGTCTTATTTATCGAATAAGAGATCGCTACGGATTCGGTGCTAGGCTTCTGCAAACCATAATTAGAATTATATTGTTTTGCAAAAATTTCTCAAAGCCTACGTACCTATGTAAATGTACCTGAACAGATATTGCTCCACCCCCTACTCCTACTTGAAAGGCAAAACGCAACTGACCAAAAGTAGGATTTGGGGATGAATTTATAACATTATGTTCGTACATATGTATGTATAAGCCGGTAAACGAGCAGACGGATCACCTGATAGTAAGCAATCGGCGCCGCTCATGGATACCCGAAACAAAAGGTGTGCACAAGTGCGTTACCGGCCTTTTGGGGATTAGGAATATGAGAATTTTTAGGGATTCGGAAGATTGGTGATGGGTTATTGGGCCTCCGGTAACGTCACGCACACGACGAAACACAAGGCAAGTGTTGTTTCACGTCGGTTTTCTGTGAGGCGTGGTATCACTCCGGTCGTACCGGCACATAGTGCCGTAGCATGGCACTCCGACACTAGTATTATTATATCGAGGGGTAACGGGCTATTTGGTTTAAGCGACATTTTTGCAACTTTACAGGAGAGCCCTTTAAAGTTTGAAATTTCGAAAAAAAATTCATAACAAAAACGCTTCTGCAGTTATTTGAACGGGGTAAATTGCATTGAAATTTAAATAAAAATATCTAGTTGCTGATGCTAATTCCAAATAAAGCGGACCTTTAATTACAAAGATAAATGTCGCTTAATACAATCTGCCCTTTTTTAGAGTCAGGAAAAAAGATTTAAGTGACTTCATAACTTACAATTGGCTACAAGGGAAAAAAATTAAGCGACGATGCACTCTATTTACAGAGTAAGCCAAAAAGTATGAAGTAACGAAACCCAAAATAAATAGAAGCAAGCTATTTATCTCAACTACCAATTTAGACTAAAATGAGTAACAGGCTAATTTACTTATGTGACAAATAACATTGAAATTGTATCGTTAAATGTTTATGTTTATTTACATCTAAGACGATTAATGGCTGATAAAACAACCTGGATATATCGAAACAACCGAAAATCTCAGGTGCTTACATCGGATAAATAAACACAACACAATATCAAAGTATTTATTTAGATTAATAATAACAGTCTGCATAGGAACAACGATTATATTATTATTTATTCAGCAAAATCAGATAAATTAATGGGTTATTTACTGAAATTGCCGTTTTGTATGAAAAAATTTAAACGATTTTTTTCATGTATTTTTTATTTGTATTTATCGAAGTAATCACCCATGTAATCAATGCATCGTTGCCAACGCAGTGGCAGTTTATTGGGCATCAATAAACTGCCACAAAATACTTCTTAAACAAATCAGCTGGACGGGTGGCAACAAATTCTTTAAATGCATTTTGTACTGCCTCTCGGGTAATGAATTTTTTTCCCGCGAAGAAGTTATTCAAATTCTGGAAAAGAAGTAGTCTGGTGAGTAGGGTGGATATTGGAGAGCTTCCAACCCCAGTTCTTGTAACTTGGAGACCATCTGTTGTGCAGCTTTAGGTCGCGCGTTGTAATGCAGGAGCAATGGAGATGAGCGATTGACCAGTGCTGGTTGGAGATGTGTCAGCTTCTCCATCATTGTGTTCAGTTCTTCACATTACACATCCGCAGTAATGCTCACTCCGTTTGGTAAGAACCTGTGATGAATCAGACTGGCGCTAGACCATCAGTGACCATCACTTTTCTAGGAGTAAGTTTTCGTTTCGGGTATTGTTTAGGTGCTGAACTAACTACTACTACAACTATGTTGAGCAGTGCAAGGCACTGCTCGATGCATACTTAGCTCTGGCGATCATTGAGAACGCAGTGGCAGTTTATTGGGCATCAATAAACTTTTAACAACTTTTAACAAGTTTTTTTACCTTGCCAATTTGACGTAAATGGACCAATATTGTTTTGATGCTAACGTCGAAAGCTGTTGCTAAATCAGCCGTAGATTGTATGTCATCAGCTTCCACAATAGCCTATTGTCACCAAAGTCTTCGGACGACCGCGAGGTTGATCTTGAAATTAAAGTACTTAGGATTCAATTTCGATGAGCGTTTTACGTAAACACTGGCGGTGAGTGCGCGTCCCGTCTGTCTTCGACGCATTCTGGAGTGACTGAAGCGCCAGCGCACGATAGTCCAGTTGGATGATCACGATTTTTAACACCCGGGCGATGAAATAAATATAGTATCATATGACATGATTGAAATGTACCATATTAAAATTTAGTGATTTAAAGACCGATTCATATTTTTATGAATACTGGCAAAATGTTTCAATATCCATTATTAATGTTATCATCTGTATAAAACGACATGCATTTTAAAAAAAAGGAGGGCTAAATGATTTATGACTAAACAAAATATCTGAACGAAAACGACTATTTGGTTTAAGTAGCACCCTGCGTGGAAAATAAAAGCAGCTAGAAGTGTTTAAGAGACGAACCATGTCGTATTTGGGTGACGGATAAATGTTTTAAGCGACAACACACCGTGTGATTAGTGGGAAGTCAAAATGATTCAAGTTACTTGCTAGTAAAAATTAGAAACAGGAAAAACGCTTTAACTCATTTTGACTTATTAATTAGAGATAGGGTGACTGGTTTATGTCTCGGTTATTAATATGATGGTATGGTTCAAGTACATAATTTAATAAAAAATGCGAAATCCATGTCGTTTAATACACTGTCACTTTGGAAACAACACGAAAATAGAATTGTTTCAAACGCCAAAAAAGTGCTCCGATTTTAATGAAACCGGCATCAATCGACGGAGAAAAATTCGCTGATTCCGAATATATATATAACTCAATATCGCCCAAAATGTCGCTTAAACCAAATAGCCCGTTACCCCTCGATATCATTTACTTGTTTATTGAATGTTTGTTTGTTAAACCTTGAACTGTCATTTATTAACATGTATGTAAATTAATGACCTACACGATTCCGAAAATTATAATTTGTGACATCGCCAAGGTTAAATGTTGGTTAGTTATTAATTTATTTCATTATTGATTCTCTCATTTGGCGTCATTTCGTATTAAAGTGTCAATAGATAAATTGCTAGAATTCACCTAAAGTAAATACAAATCAGCAAAACTGCCAATGGTTCTGTGGCATTTTTTATTATTTTATAAGTAAATCCTTTCCTTCCTTTTATAGCCTCTATTTTAATTTATATAATACTAGCGACCCGCCCCGGCTTCGCACGGGTGCAATATGCATGATATAAACCTTCCTTAAAAATCACTCTATCTATTAAAAAAAACCGCATCAAAATCCGTTCCGTAGTTTTAAAGATCTAAGCATACATACGGACATACAGCGAAAGCGACTTTGTTTTATACTATGTATTGATGCTTTGAATTCCTTGTCTGATTAACTCGTCGAGTACCGGTTTTGCAGACACAATTATAGAACAATAGGTTGCGGTCACCGGTGACCGCTTGGTATTTGACAGTTTAATATGCAAAATCGTCTTAGTAATTATATATTAATTCACAAAAATATTAATGAACACTAATTAATAAAATAACATTTTGTATATTCTACGGTTTTGTTTAACCCTATTCTACCAATGAAGCTCTTTCGTTTGATATCCATAATGGAGGTAGTTATGGAAAAAAGGTAATAATATTGTAAGGTCATCAAGATTTAAAAGTGTATAAGTACCATAAATCAGATCGATCTGCCGTCATGAATGAGGGTGAAATTTCAATTACTAAATTCTACTTCAATTCAAATAAATATTAAACCATTTAAAAAACTATTAACAACTATATAATATAAATCATCACTCACCCGATATAACAATCTTAACAGTTGAATATCACAATAACAATATTATTTAAAAAAAAACACCAAAATGCTACACTTTTTTACGAATACGAAACAAAAAATAACCGCCATTCACTGACACACGACGTTTGACACTTACATTTTTTAATTTGATCGTGGCACTGACATGCTTCCAGACTGCCTCGTGCATAGACAACGGCGTGTATACTGATTCCGATCACACTGTAGTTCAAGTTCAAATCTTATTGATATTTACTGTATACAGGCTGTTTGAGTGTAGTTCGTGTTAAAATAGCATTTCATTCAGTATAAATTGTCATTATGTATGAGTTAATACCCAGTTGGTTTGTGTGTAGAAATTACTAATGGGAGTTTAATTCTGGGTTATTCGATATTCGCTTTATCGACATTATAATTATATTAAAACGTCACACTTATTTTACATTATGATTAATAATCATTGCCTTCATTAATAAAACATTTTAGAGTACAATAATGCTTTTAATGACTATGTAGCCATATCTTATTTATTAAAAATATGTATATAAAATTAGTTATAATAAAACAGCCTGTACAATAATTACTACGAAATAGTTTCCACCACATTCGATTTCGATGCTAATATCACGATACATCAGTAAATTTACATGAATTCGCCACATTATTACACGATTTTATGTAATCCAAGGTTATCATTTTAATTTACATTGTAAATATTACATAATATACACAAAATAAAAGAAAATAGTTTTGCTTTTCAATCTAAAGTTATATAAAAATTGATATTATTAAGTATGTTTGACCCAGTTTCTTCCATCTTTGGGATGGAAATATATGAATCCTACATTAAACATGAACAAAATAATATGCAAAGAACAAATTCTTTGAGATTTCCTCCGAATTCGTAATTATTTACTGGCAATTTAAAATAAAATGCGATAGGACTGACTTTAAATCCACTCTTTATACTTCATACTGTATAGACACTCGGTTGGCGCAGTAGCCGGGCCACTAGCTGCTTCGAAACGAATCGTGGTTTAGATTCTTATACGGATCATCTATTTGTGAGATCCACAAATTGTTATTTCGTCCAGATGTGATGTGCATGTAAATTATATGTTTGTAAATGAACTTTCGTCACAGGATAAAATCCTATACCGAGGCTACATAGGACACAAAACAACAATCATATGCAGTAATTAATGTAAGTGATAGAATTACTTTTTTAATGGAATAAGTCGGTAAACGAGCAGACGGATCCCCTGATGATAAGCAATCGGCGCCGCCCATTGACACCTGAAAGTCTGAAACACCAGAGGCGTTACAAGAGCATTATCGGCCTTTTTGGGATTAGGAATTTGAACATTGTTAGGAATTCGGAAATTGGGGGGATCAGGAAGCCCCCTTCCTCGGTAATTACGCCTCCGATGATAATGTTAGATAAAGCTTATAATCGACTGTCAATACTCGCCACCATAACCATGTTGATACTTAAATCGATACATCAACTCTTACGCAATTTGACAATGAACTTTTGGATCAATAATAGAAATATTTGGCAATTGATTGGATTAAAGTACTTACAAAGGTACTTATGATAGTTATTGTATTTTCAAGTACTTTTACATTGCACACAGATAGAGTCAATTATTGGTTAGTTGGCCGAATGGCCATAGTAGATATGACAGTTAAGCACGAGCTCACAGTTTCAAACTCCGGTTGAGCAAGGTGTTATCGGTTATTCGACTAGTTGAATTTCTAACATTAGCAATGATGCTAGACAGATAACTCAAGTCAAAGTTACTAAACATACAAAAATTGGTGATGATGGCTGACTGGATTAAATTCTGAGGATATAAGAAGAGCCAATCAGCCAATAATGAGAATCGGCGTCGCCCATAGACAGATCAATACCATACCAATACATAGACAGACCAGACATAAGAAGAGCCAATCGGCCAATAATGAGGAGGCCAATCGGCGTCGCCCACATACTGGTGTTCCGGGTGTCTCTTAAACACCCGGAACACCAGAGGCGTTACAAGTCCGTTACCGGCCTTTGGGGATTAGGTATTTGAGGACTGTTGGAGATTCAGGGACTGGGGAGATCGGGGAAGTCAAGAGTTGTCGGTTTTTTGTAGAACCGTGATATCACTCCGATCGAGCCGGCCCATTTGTGTTGAAGCTCTATGGCTCTCCCACACAATATTGGGTAGAGGAGACTCATAGTCTTTTTTTGTTATTTTTTAAGAGGGGAAAATCATCGAATGACTTCTCCCGCCTGGCTGAGACGGGAGGGAGTTTCAGACTCTTACTGACTAAAAACCACCTCGTTCCTACTCCTGCACTTCGAAACGGAGCCCCGGCAATCCGTTAACTAACTTAAATTATATCTTTCATTACTTCATTCCTTTGTCCTCAAAACCCGAGATGAAAAATATCATATGAGTATATTATTAAGATCATTTCCTACATCATTTAGATAAGGACAAATTGCATTACATATCATGTAGGTACTACGCAATTGCATAATATTTCCATAAAAACTTCACTTCTTTTTGTTCTGTAGGTTTATAAAAAACATATTAAGTTGTGTTGTTATTTTTTCAAAAAATATCTGTATGAATACCAATTAAATACTGCCAAAAGTTTATTTATTTATTGTACACATTTAAACTGTCAAACACCAAGCGGTCACCGGTGACCGCAACCTATTTTTCTATAATTGTGTCTACAAAACCGGTACTCGACGAGTTAAGTAGCCTATATAACAAACAATTTAAGTAAACAAGCGTACAATGGGCGGTCTTATCACACAATGGTGCATCCCATCACAAACCGAGTCTCATATTACATAGCCAAGTTGATACCTAAACTGGGAATGGGGTAAACGATGATTTCTTTTTGTGTATGCGATTTTATGGCTACAATAGGACCCATTTAGTTTTTAGTCAAATATCCGTGGTGCATGACGACTGGGCTGCTCCTAGTCATGCAGTTTCTTTTGTGCCTTTAGCCTTAAGACCTTCTGTCCCCTGCATAAATTAACCAGGGGAAGTGGAAACTACATTTTTATTCATTTCCTCCATTAATATCTTCTAATTTATTTCGTTGCGGGAACCAAGTGAGTTATTCATGTCCCTGAGATGCACCCGACTTCAGTGCTCCGGTGTTTTCTTGGTTGTATCTACTGTAGATTCTGGCTTACAGGAGTTGCAGCTGGAAGATTGTAGCGGGCTTGTCCCAAAAAACTTGACTAGTGGGTCTTACATTGTATATATTTATGTGCATGTGCACCTCTGTCTAGCCCTTTCGGAAGTTTTAAGTGGTATGACCAAACACCATTTATTCTATAGACAACAAAGTAATAACTTCTTGAACAAAACATTGGTATGACTATCTATAATAGCATGTTACACAGTCATAAATATTATTTTGTAACCCTATTTCATATGGTGGACAACAAAAAGCATGAATGTTAAATCATGGTCGATGTTCAAGCATGATGTTAGATACAATATTTTTTTTTAATTAGGCTTAAATAGGCTCAAAATGATATTTCAAGATCGAGTAGAATGGGATGATGACAGGGTATGAAAAGTAAAAATATAATTAGTTCGTAAGTTAGGTAATGAAAAAATATTAGACAAGTATTTTTTTATTTTGTCGTATAATAAAACGAATTAAAAGTTGAAAGTTGAAGTGACGTCACGCGACATTTCAAATCAATATATCGTACAAATTATTCGTTTCTGTAATAAACTAAAAAATACGTGTCTAATGATTTAAAATAATCTACCCTATTATAATATTCTCATAATAATTATGTATTTATGGGCGAAGCAAGGGCGGCAAACGAAACACTACACACACACACACACACACGCAGGTGCCTCAACTATAACTCACCTCAACTACAAGTACAACTCGAGAGCACCGCGCACTGACCATCTACCGTTGGCTTTTTGTATCGACATTATGAAATATATCATAGGACAAACGATTTAAAGTTCATATTATAAATGACTATGTAATTGCTGGGTTGGAGCCGATCCGGAACCGTGCTTGGTAGGAGTGCGATGCCTTTTAGCCTATCATAAATGAGCATCGGTGTTCATGCACATCCACAACAACAGAGGAGTAACAAAGAGAAAGAGAAACTTTGGGGGATAGGGCTGGTAACCTCATTTACACGACGAAACACAAGGCAAGCGGTCTTTCACGTGTCGGTTCTCTGTGAGACTGTGGTATCAATCTGGTCGAGCCGACCAATTCGTGCCGAAAAACATGGCTTATAACCAAGCCACAATATGTTTTGAACACTATACCAGGATTCTATCGTTGACCGTACCTACTTTAAAACATGTCATGTTATAAGATAATAAAATAAAATATCATTTGAATTTCAACCTTGAAATGTGTAAAAAATTATTCGTATAACGGAAATAATAAAACATCACGTTTCTTGCAGAAACAAGTCCCTTGCTGTCATTTAGCGGGCAAAAAGTAACAAGAACTCGAGTTTTGTCAGTTATGTAATGAATTCCAAAACATAGAGGATTTTTTTTATGGCATAAGACGGTAAACGAGCCGACGGATCACCTGATGGTAAGCAATCGGCGTCGCCCATGGACATCTGGAACACCACAGGCGTTACAAGTGCGTTACCGGCCTTTTGGGGATTAGGAGTTTGAGGATCGTTGGGGATTCAGGAATTGGGGAGATTGGGGAAGGGGAGGGTAATTGGGGCTTCGGTAACCTCGCTCACACGACAAAACACAACGCAAGCGTTGCTTCACGTCGATTTTCTGCTCGGCCGTGGTATCACTCCGGTCGAGCCGGCCCATTCGTGCCGAAGCATGGCTCTCCCACACTTAATAGTAGTAGATAGTAATTGACATAGCAATTTACTATTTTACTATTCATCTCCTGGCCTTGTCTACAACAAGGGGCAAGAGGAAAGCAACCGTGGTGATTAATGCTCAAACTTTCTTTGTGTGGGAAGAGGCATTTGGTCACCAGTGGGCACTTACAGGATGATGGCAGCTCATTTTATACCAAGGAATAGGATAAAAATTTACAATAACAACTTAAATACAATATGCAAATCACGTCAAAATCGTTT